CCAATTAGGGTCGCGGCACACATGCAACTCAATTCTTAGCCACGCAACATAAAGCCACACTGTCACCCGGGCTGACGCAAGGCACGCGCTGGTTATTACATACGACGGTACAAAAAATGTGAAGACGTCATTTATGTCGACGCTTTGGTGAGCCCACTTGAAGGAACGGCTACAGCTGCTGCCACGACAGAAGACGGACGCATTCGCATGTCCGCGTCGGTTAAAATAGAACGTCCCGACGTGGCTGAGGGGGTTGGACTGACCCACGTAATGGCGCATGTGGCCACAGATTTATTTATTTATTTATTTATTTATTAGAATACCCTCAGGGCCCGTAGGGCATTACAGAGGGGGTGGGTACAACATATATAACACACAAGAAAAAAAGACAAAATAAAGAAACAAGTATCAGATGCGCAAATCAGGAAGGCAACATAAGTCAACTAAAAATGTATAAGAATTCAAGCACATACAAGACAAAGATAGATAATGGAAACTGCGTATAGTTACAAGCATTGCTGAGAAATTGCAGTCTTGAATAACAAAGGGTCTGTTATAGAGATTCTACCATTACTGAAAATTGCACTGATTCCCAAAGCGCTTATCGATACTTCCTTGAAGGCATAGCACCAAAGATGGCCTCACGCACACTGAACAACATTTCTTCGCTACCTCATCCAATGAATATCACCTGGGTGCCTGGCCATTAGTGTATCCTTGGTAATTAGCGCGTTCATGTGCGTTTCCAAGGTCTTTTCATGCGGACCCCATTGGCTCACTCACCCAAACCCGTGAGAAAACAGCAATAGAGCATCCACACCTACCATGATTTTACGATGTATTACTGAAACGATAGACGAGATTTTCCTGCCCCACATTACTCCCTCACCCCTAGAGTTCAGTTCGGTGCCAGCTGCAGACTATCTGGCACGCCTATTTCATCTCGCGCTTCACCCACCACATTGCACCACTTGCGTGGCACCCCGGGCTCATCTTTTTCACTGTTTGTGGAGCTGTCCAAAGCCCGTGGCGGTAGACCATATCCCTAACCCTTCCTTTTCCGCGTGGAGGCCGCTCTTCGGGCGACTGGCTCGGATGACCAGCTGTGGCTGATGCACTGGGCCTGCTTAGAGATGTCGGTCAGGGGACTCCTGGACATCTACGGGCCCACCCACATTTACTTTGATTTTTTTAGTTAAAATTGTATCCAACGATCCATCACGGAGTAAAAATAGTTGCTCTGTTGAGTATATCTCGTGACGAAGTTGCTCCTGATCGGCCCATGCAACATTCAGGGCGCACTCTCAATGTGCAAATAGAACATACATGTGCCACATGTAGCACAAAATTGTCACCGGAAATGCTGCGAATCTTCCTATAGATGACGCCATAGGAGGGTCTCACAAGCTGCCACTCTAGCATCGCCATTGCGTAGATGGCGATTATTAGAACGTTTCGTACGCAAGCAGACATAGCGAAAAGATCTGACATCTGACTCGTGCGTGCGACAATTTTAAAGAAAAACAAGCTAGGCATATGCGTATAAATTGAATAGATCAGTTTACAAGTGCGCACACTCTAAGGCAAAATTACCCGAACAAGGAGCAAAGGAGCCCAATAGGCACGCCTGTTGAACAGATAGATCGTTGAGGAGCAACCGCAGAGGAAAGCGTGCGGCGCGAAACCACTTAGTCTCCACTGGGATGAACCGCCCGGGCAATGCAGGTAGCGCTGAAAGCTTTGCCGAGGTGACCAGCCCTCCTTCTCCACAGAACACATGTCCTTCTACTTATCTAGTGGACTCAGTCTTTTCCCGTATTTTGCCGGTGGCGGTCGCGTAGCGTCGCGCTCGGAGTGCTCGACCAGGGCCGCCTGGATTCGCCGATCTAAGAATTGCAACGTGGTGCTTGTGTCTACGCCTGGATGAGCATGGGCTGCTGCTTTACCGTTTCGCTGCACCCATTAGGTCTGGAGCAAGCCTTGACAGGTAACCATGCCGCACTGTATATCTCTTGCTTCAAGATAGCCCCGACCAACACACGACAGCAACAGTTGGGAAGGCCAATATGGCGGCCGAGAAGAACAGGCCCATCGGATATATACTTCAGTTCGACTCAGGGCAGAAAACAGCGCTGGGTTCTAAGACAAGTAGGTTATTAATCTTCTTTCTACTCTACTTGTCGCGTGTGCGATACGGATAGCGCTTGCCGGCAACAGGCTCGGTTGTGTAGTATATCGCACGCACGAAATGCATCGCGAAGGTCAGATTCGGCGTATTCAGTTCGCCTGTGCTTTCCAACGGCCTAGCAATCGGCCGCCATTGCCGTCGGCCTCCCGTACACTCGCTCATCGAGTGCTCGCCTGTCTTCGCCGCCGCGATGAGCTCCGTGCTGACGATATTGGTCTAAGACCACGTCGCTGTGTTGGAAGTCGTCGAAAACACGTTGCGGGTTCTCGTAAAGAGCTTGGCTGTAGTGTGTCGCGCGTTGTAAGTGCACCAGCAGGGGCTGGCGGGACTTTCGCTAGAGTCGGAACTCACTGAAAACTGGTCAGCCTTGCAGTCGGCTTTCCCGCCAGTCGGCTGCAAGCAGCTAGGAGCCGTCCGCTAGCCGCGGCGGCGGACTCGCGTTTCCGCGCTGCACTCGCTCGAGTTTGTGGAAAAGGGCCGCATTACCGTCAATTTCGTCGGCGCTATCTCTAAACTAGCTCGGCGCTGTTCATGGCGGCGGCCAAGCCTACGCTCACTTTCCTGTTCGCAGTTCGCTGGCGGCAGACACTCCGCGTTCAGTGCCGTGTTTGGTCTCGCGTTCGCTTGCTCGAGCTGAACGACGTCGCTCACTTAGGACTCGCTGATTTGTTACCGGCACGGTGGTTCGCGGAGTTGTGACTGCGGCCGCCGCTTCTAAGCTGTTGCGCTACGGGGAACGAAATGAGTCTTTGACGATGTGTGACATCACGGTGAAATTATTAGCATGTCATATCTCACGTATGTTTTCATTTCACCTTGCACGTATTTCTCATATGCATTTGTATTCATCCTCTGTCACACGTGACTCACTATTTTACATACTTAGTGTTCAGCCGTGGGCACACACCGTGCTAAAGACTGTGCGCTGGCGTCTGCGATGCCTGTCATACATCTCTTTCGTCAGAGCAGCTTGAGAAGGACTGTGCGAGATGTGAAGGTAAAGTTATATGTGTGTTATATTATAACGCTTTTTTGTATATTAACGTGCATGGTACTTGTCATATGCGTGCATCTTCATCTTCCATGACGTGTTCCTAACTATTTTCACTATATTACTGTACGTGCAGCCGTGGGAACATAACAGGCAGGAGGCTGCGTGTGCTGGCGTCTGCAATGCCTGTCATTTATTGCTTCCGTCGGAGGAGCTCCCCAAGGTGTGAACAAGATTTGACAACGAGACTGGGCTTGAACACTTCAACATGAATTCACTTGAAAGAAAGGGGAAACTTCAAGTGTATGTAGAAAAATAAAAGATTTCGATGTCTCACGTAGGTCTTTCGTTGTTGCCGTGACTGTGAAAGCAGTTACACATAGGTGGCTAACTACTTTTTCGCGTGTTCTTTTCTGCAGAATTTGTTGCTCACTGCGCAGAAAAAGAGGCAAAAAAGTATTAGGCCTGGCGGAAAATAAAAAAAAAACAATGTTTGAACTGGGGACAAAAGGTTCATTCGATTGGAGTATTTGAGTGTATTAACCGTTTGTCCGGCAAGATGCAATTGTGAGGACTAACGGTTGCCCGGTAAAGGTGTAAATGTGGGGATTAACAGTTGCTCTATAAGTTGCAAATGTGAGAACTAAATGTTAGTTTTTGGGGTGAAATGTGGGACTAACTGTTATTCACTAAGGTGTATATGTATGAACTAAATGTTAGCCTCTTGAGGAGACTAATGGTTATTGACTAAGATGTAAATGTGTGGACTAAATGTTAGTCTCTTGAGGGGACTAACTGTTAGACCCCGTGCCGTTAGTCCTTAAAGAGATTATTGGTTGTGGGAGCCCCATTAGTCCCCAAAAGGACGAACCACACACCCTTTTAACACCCTATTGCCTTAGAATGTAATAACGAAAATACGGGGAATCAACCAAACAATAACAAACTCTGTAATAAATAAATATTAACTTGCTGACGCGTGAGCGATGCGGGAAATAAGGGTGGTGGTACAGGTATCAATACCAACTCAGTTTTATGCCTAGTTGACTAGATTCGCCGGGAGCAGGTTTCTCCTTTTTTTCTCTCTCTCTTGGTGCCTTTGTTGGTGGCGCAGAGAGAGGAAATGCAACCTCGATCTGCGACACGCTGGTAAGTTCACTACAGCACTCCTCACCCTAGTCAGGGCACGACCAAAATTAACAGCCAAAGCGGCTACTGGCTAACCTGGCGTCCGTTGTTCACAGCGTGTGCAGTGAATCTGAGTCTCTTGGGGAGTTACCGTAGGTGTGGGTTGTGGACTTAATTTGAGGTGTTATTGACAAACATAGAGGTTATTGTCCTGGACCGCTTGATTTCCACGTGCGCCGACATGAGTCGGTCCACTGACAAACTCTTGGCGGATAACTTTGAAATGTTTGCCGTACGTTGCTTCAGGTGTTTTTCCACGTTAAGCAAAAAGACGTGGCTACGCAACTGAAATAAGATGTACGCTCAAAGTGCACCTCGTGGCGGTGTACACCAAAGTTTCATGTGAAGTAGGTGGGATGCATAGTCATTAACCCCTTAAGGGCTTATGACGACCTGCGCTCGTCAAGAGCAGTTGCCACTATTTTGCTTAAGACGAGTTGTGGTCGTCATGAGTTTTCCGCAATGCTCCTACAGGCTTTTGACGAGCCCGGGTCGTCAAACGGGGATTTACGGAACCTGTGCTGCCATCTATGTTTTAACACCGCAAGTTCCGTCATTGGCGGTGGTATTAAATTATAATTTGCACACTAGATGGCGGAATGTGTGCGCTTGTTTCCCGCGCGTTTTACAAACATGGCCTCATCCGTGCGGCGTTCTGATGCGGAGAATCTTCCTTCTTCAGACGATGAAAGCGAGAGTGATAAGGATGCCACCGTAGTGTTTTATTCTTCAAGTGAAGAAGACAGTGATGACGTTTTTACGGACAGTGACTCTGAAGGAGAAGACAGTAGCGATGATACAATGGCTAGCTCCCGTGAATGGTTTCGCATAGACCTCGACAACATCCCAGCCAGACCTCCACGGTTTGATTTCAGGGGTTTCACGGGACTGAAGATCACAGTAAGCTCTCCCCCTCATCCACTTGAGCTCTTTGAAGCTTACTTTGATGATGAGCTGCTTGATGTTATCGTCGTGGAGACAAACCGGTACGCTTCTCAGCTTCTGAATTCTAGCAAGCTGGGACAACATTCTCGCTTCCGAAAATGGTATGCACTTACGCGAGAAGAACTTCGCGTTTCTCTGAGCCTCCTGTTGCTGCAAGGCATTCTGCAAAAACCAAATGAAAGGATGTACTGGTCTAGGAATCGGCTGGTTGAGACTCCGGTCTTTGGCGAGATAATGTCCAGAAACCGCTTCGAACTAATATTGAGAATGTTGCACTTTGTCGACAACACGACAATCGAAAATTGTGAAGGACACCCTCAACCTCATCTGAGGAAAATCTGGCCGGTTTATCAGACACTTCTTGAAAAATACCGGACATTGTATGTGCCGGAGCGGGACGTCAGTGTCGACGAGAGCTTGCTGCTCTTCAAAGGCCGGCTCAGCTGGAAGCAGTATATGCCCCTGAAGAGAGCGAGGTTTGGCATAAAGTCATTTTTGCTGTGCGAATCTTCAAGTGGGTATATATGGAACTCTGTAATTTATACAGGGAAAGAAACGAACATTGAGATCTCGTCAGAAGAAGCAGCAACCTTCGGAATGGCGACGAAAGTTGTTTTGAAGCTTCTGGAGCCCCTGCTAGACAAAGGCTACTGCGTCACAACTGACAACTTCTACACCTCACCAGAACTGGTTGACTTTCTTTTGAAGAGATCAACTGACATCTATGGCACGACGCGAGCCACTCGCAAAGACCTTCCGCCTGGTTTCGCCAAGGCAAAGCTCAAGAAAGGCGAGATGGTTGCCTTTCAAAGGGGCAAGTGCTTGGCTGTTCAGTGGATGGACAAAAAACTGGTGACGGTTCTATCTACAGTACATAGTGCTGAAATGGCGCGATTCATTGACAAAATGGGCAAAGAAACCCTGAAGCCAGAAGTTATACTTGATTATAAAATATTTGGCCATATTGGTGCATAATATATTTGTTTAATGAGCCCTTAAGGGGTTAAAAGAAATGTGGGCTTGTTGGTCAGGTAAATGGCGAACGACGGCTACAGCGCTATATACCTTGTGTACGGCTCAATCATGCGTCGGCCTGGTGAGGCAGACGCAGGGTTGGGCCGTACACCAGGCAGACTTTAGGTCGGACTATACACAAGTTATGCCTTGAACTCAGTACGTTTACTCCAACGTACGATGGGAAGTGCTGCAACCAAGGACTGTTCTTCACTTGCCATGAGCACGGCTTTCAACTACCGGTGAAATATCTCAACCGTTGCGTTACTTATCACATGGAAGGCCGTCGTTCTGATGCGCAGTGAGCCATCATTCTGATGCACGATGAGCAATAGAGCCAGTGGCTAACGAAAGCACGAGCACCAGTTGCGGAAGAGAATACTCTCTGGCAGACGTGTGAAACGTTGCGCACAAATTAACAAGTTCATTTGGCCCTGACAGGGTGGCAACGTCCAGACGATGTCGTCAGGAGCCGTCTTCAACTATGCCATGGTATGATGGTGTACCATGGAGTGTTGGCACGCGAGACATTGACTGACTCCATTGTCCAGAATTGCGTTTGATTCGCAGCCCACAGAAAACAGTGCTGTGAAGAACTTTTGTGAAGCCCAACTGCTCCTGCCGCTGTGACGCAGCGAAGACCTTTCGGGCCGCGCAAGAGAAACCAATGCAGGTTTAGTAACGCAGACATTTCTTCTGGGTTTTACAATTAGGCATTTCTTTCAGCAGCCGCTATTTTGTTGAGGTCTGGTAAATGTTTGAAGAAGAGCATGACGAGAATATGATTGTGTGTGTAGCGTGCGGCGTGATTCTGGGACTTGACATTCGGAACGACCGAGAATGAACGCGTTTATGCAACTGGTGCTCTGGGCGATATAGTCGACCTGTTTTTCTTTCTTACAACGATGAGGGTTTTTTATTCTACGTTAGATTGTGCCGAAAAACTCGGGATTTGTGACAAGAGCAACCTGGCAACAAAAGGACTTCTACACCAGCGAAGATAGATCGGATCAATGGCAAATGAGCTACCAACGAGCTTTACATGCGCGTATCCGTAACGAGGCACGCCAACTCATTGCATCGAGTCAGCTTGGCGCCCTCACGCTTTGACTTCTGCACGACAGACTGCACAACTGCAACGATAGACCACGCGTGCTCAACGAACAACTAGAAGGGCTCCTCATGGACGAGCAAGCTGCTGAGACTACCGATCAGTCTTGGAGTACAAAGACAACGCAGCAGCAATGCTGTCTCTTCTCTCGTATCGCATTGAGCAACTTCAGCGTGAAATGGTGTTCGACCGATGCTAACCAATACGCAACGATGATGTGACTCCAGGAACGACTTCGGGGAATCGTTCCATGGGTGGTGCTTCAAGACTACCGAAGCTTGACTTGGTTCCCTTTAATGAAGCAGTGCTACAATGGCAGCCCTTCTGGTACATGTTCAAGCATGTCGTTCATGTAAACGCCAGCCTGACGAAAGCAAAAAGATTTCAGCACCTGAAATAGCTTTTGGTTGGATCAGTGGCCAAAGCGATTCAGGGAATTCAGGCGACAAGTTTTTCAGCACGCAGATGTCATACTCCTATCCAACCGCTTCGGAAACACGAGGATCATCGAGTATAGTACATGCATAACCTTAGAACGCTCAAGCCCATACAATGTTCCACTGATGTGACCACCGTGAGGAATCTCCTAGATACGGTGACCATAAACCTGAGAGGTCTCAAGGCTCTTGGACGATTGGAGCTTTCAGACACTAAGATGCTTCTCGAGATTCTGACCAAAGTAATCCCTAATGACATCACGGTAGAACACTACAAATTACCGACAACCGTACAACACTGCCACAACCCAATGCGCCTAGACCAAGGTAGGCTATCTGCACAGGGTTAACCCTAGCCCCCAGGAAGTTTGGAAGTAAACGGAAAAGAGTAGAACATAGGACAGATAAAAAGTGAGAGATAAAGACGAAGATGTAAGGAGAGAGAGATAGGAAAAGGCGACTGCCGATTTCGCCTGGGTGGGTCAGCCCAGTGGTGCCGCCTGCGTGAAGCCGGGGCCAAAGAGGTGTGTTGCCTCCACCGGGTGCCTTAAAGGTCTAATCACCAAGCATCGGGTCAACCCCCAGGATCCCCTTTTCCCCAGACACGGCTCAGCCACGCACGGCTAGGCGTGGGACAGAGTCGAAAACCCCCGTTAGCTCGGGTCTGTGGTAACGCTGTTCACGCCTGTTCACGCAGACGCCCCTGCGGTGAGGTATAATTGAAGCTAGCGAAACGGCCGCGAGCGCGCTATAAGCGTAGCAGACGTTTTACATGACACGCATATCATGATTATTATGTTTGTATGTGTCACTTACCTTCGTCGTCTTTTTGCGTCGCTTGATACCAAATTTGGTGTAAGTGAAGCTATCGAAGTGGTCTTGAGCGCATGGTGAGCATGGTATGTTGTCATGATCTTACATGACACGTGTGTCATGATCGTCATGTTTGCACCAGTCATGCACCTTCGCGTCTATTGACGTCACGTAACACCAATTTAGTATGTGGGAAGCAAGCCAAATGGCCGCGAGCGCATGATGATCGTGGCATGTAGTGAGGTTCTTACATGACACGCATCGCTTAATTATCATGTTTGCACCAGTCATGTACCTTTGTCATCCAGTCACATACCGTAATACCAAATTTGATATATGTGAAGCTAGCGAAACGGCTGCGAGCGCATCGTGAGTATAGCATACAGTCACGTTTTACATGACACGCTTGTCATGATCATCACGAGAGCCAGAGCATCATTAACGCGGCGTGTAGTTATAACTTACATGATGTGTATGTCATGATTTCAACGTTAGGGTCTGTCATGTTTGCCACGCAGTCATGTCATACCACGCCAGTTTTGCCAACATGTCATGTGAACGAAACCACCGCAAGGGCAGCAGAACCATGGAATGTAAATCATGACATTCATGACGTTTATACCCTTTTTTATGTTATGACTAGTCAAATACGTTCTTCGTGCAGTCATGTTATGACTAGTCAAATACGTTCTTCATGCAGTCATGTTATGACTAGTCAAATACGTTCTTCATGCAGTCATGTTATGACTAGTCAAATACGTTCTTCATGCAGTCATGTTATGACTAGTCAAATACGTTCTTCATGCAGTCATGTTATGGCACACCAAGTTCAGTATATATGCTATTATCGAAACGGCCAGCAGAGCTTAAAGTCATAGGCAGCTAGATGATGGACGGATAGTTATATAGAAAGATAGATAGATAGATAGATAGATAGATATATAGATAGATATATAGATATATAGATAGATATATAGATATATAGATAGATATATAGATATATAGATAGATATTTAGATAGATAGATAGATAGATAGATAGATAGATAGATAGATAGATAGATAGATAGATAGATAGATAGATACGCTAAAAGTTGTCAAAGCTCTCAAAGAAATCCTTTGCATTAAAGAAAAGTGACTGCAGAGTGAGCTGCGCACTTGAGGATGAATGCTGAGTTGTTTCTTCAATTTCAGTTTTATCAGTCAAGTGTATCGGTGCCGCGACGCTTTGTTAGGGCTCATTCACATTAAGGCGGCCTTGAATGCGTCCGGTATGCGGCGACGAGCCTATAAACAAACCTGTAAGTTGAACCTAGTCGGAGTTTAAAGCAAGCACTGACGACGGCCTAGGTGAGTCACGTGATGACGTCTCAGTGACAGCAACACTCCAGACATTCGCTCCCAATACGCAAATTAGCGTTCAAGTGGTCATATCGTCGCGTAGCTCCGAAGATGCGGGCAAGGTGTATGAGGGCAACAGGGCTCTTACGAAACGCATCAGTTGGGCTCGCTCGCCAGAGCGGAGTCCCGCACGCACTTTGTTTCGTGGTCACTGCATTTGCCTTTGCTTACAACCCACTAATACAGACACGTGGCAATATTTCTCCTTCACAAACAACTAAAGAAGAGCATCGTCTCGATTCTGCAAGGTCCTTGCAAAAGAAAAAGTCACAGCTTTGCCACAAAGGCGAAGCAATGAACGCAATAGCAACAAATTGGAACGGCACGCGCATGATGGGAAACAGATCGAAACGTGCCCCACATATCTCGCGCACAAATGACGCATGAAACGTACTCACAGGTACAGAGGAACGCGAATAAGCGTCTCATTTGTTACTTCGCTGTGTCTAGAAAGCACGCCCTTTTCACAAACGAAGGCTGTGCAACGATTGCATTGACCTTTGTGGGCCCCGTAAATACAACAAAATTATTTCAGTGCAAGCCCAACGCCAGCCAAGACGTATAATCCTCCCCACTGAGAGATCAGAGGCGCGTGAGAAATCGTTTACTCCCCTCCTCTCCGCGGGCCAAAGTAACCGTGAGAAATGAGTCACCACGCGCTCATTGCGCCATCTTGCTGATAATGCTGAAAACACGACAGACGCTCCCCACCCCCCTCCGAGATCCCTGCCAACAGTGGTAAGTAGTGGATATAAATAGCTTGTTGTTTGAACGTTGCAAGACGTGCCCGTCGGTGGCTTAATGGTTTACTCCTCGCAGTCATGACCGTGGATGTCCCACGTTCGATTCCGCGCGTCAAAGCCTTTTCTGGACTATTTTTCTGTCTTGATTTTTCCTATATATAGATACGTATACATACATATATGGTGAGTGACGCGGTGACGCCCACGTTGACGTCGATGCCGACGCCGGTGGCAAAATCCAGCCGAGAGTGTCCTTATCGTTCCTATCGTAATTTAAAAAAACGCAGCTTTTCTCGTTTCGGCAGCAACCGCCTAATCTCATCGTCTTGGGTACCGCCACTGTTCATCTCGTGATATCGCCCCCCCCCCCAAGGTTGCTCAACAGGCGATCTTTCACATTACATCGCGAGTCCACTGACCAATCTGCCATCGCCTGGTTCTCTCTTCGCACTAGCCGAAATGATGTCTAACTTATCGCTGTCTCATTCACGTGTGTAGTGGAGTGCCCTCTCTTTTCTGCTCAACTTCGCACGTGCTGCTGTTCATGGACGTCGACGCGCATTATTTTTAAAAAGCTCGAAACCAGCTCTGTCTAAGCAGCGCTACAGGGAGTGCTGACTGTGAAAATCTGTGATAACGTTGACACCCGGTAAGCATCCTCGTTTCTTGTGGGCTCCTCAAACTCTGGAAGCCTTAATTCTATCTCCGTCACCACTGGAGAGACCCAACACTGCAGCGATAGGAAATTGAATTATCTGTGGCTCAGCGCTGAAGCACTTTATAACCGAAAAACACGAGACTCAATACGTGCTGGTGTCCAGTATGTAATAAATTTAATTTTGTTAATTGATTTAAGAAAGCATTTTTACAAAATGCCAACGAAGGGGCAAAAGGAGAGAGTATCTCTTGGATTGGTCCACTCCTCGTGCGGGACCTCGGGCAGGTACAACAAAACAGTGCATAGAAATATTCAACAAATACATACAATTAATAA